TTTATTTTATTTTGCAGCACATTGATGTTATTATGTATTATTTGAGAAAAAGAGGCAAGTATGGCCCCAACAACGACATTAGGTTCACAACAACCGATTGCTTGTTCAAGACCAAGATTGAACGAATCTATGACAAGTTCATAAATTCTCCACCAGAACTTAAGTATTCGGTTGTTAAATCAGATGATGATGTTGCAGAATATATCCTTGGGTATAGACTTCTTGCTAATGTTGCCTGGGATGTAGTTGACTATGTCATCATGCCTGTGAACATTGTAGAGAATTTCCATTGGTTGTTGCTCGTTTTCGACATAGCGGACAGGCAACTTTATGTTTATGATTCCATGGTTTCTTCAAACCGTCATAATACTGTTGAATCATTGGTTGATAAGTTTTCAATCATTATCCCTCTGTATTTGTCTTGCACTGGTTTCTACGGGAAATGTAAAGACATTGACTTCAAGACCACAAAGGCATACATTGAGAAACCAGTTACAGACCCTCTCAACATACAGTGGATGGTTGCGGAGATTCCACAGCAAAAGGAAGGATCACTGTAAAAAAACTATTCTCACTTTCTATATGTTTAATTATTTTCTTTTAATCAATTGTTACATAATGAAAAAATTTGATCTTATGCAGCGATTGTGGTGTATTTGTGGCGGCTTTTGCGGAGTATGTTAGCCTTGGAGATTTGGCAATCCCAAAAGAAGATCTTTCTGATATCGACCAACACCGTAGACACTATGGAGCTCTACTATGGGACTATGCTACAAAGAAGCAAGAAGATGGGTCAATCAGTAAAAGTGAGGTTACAGGCAGGCTATTAAGGAGGAAGGGTGCTCCTGCTAAAAATGAGAGGACTACAGTACGAGAAAGAAGAAATAGAGTCTTGTGTTCCTAGTTTAGTTGATGTCATTTTGTAGTTGAAGTGGAATACACTGTAGGAAATATGTCATTTTGGTTGTTTACAGCACTTTATCTTCGTTACATTAAACTCGAGTACTCTGATTTGCTAGAATACAATTCGCCTTTAATCTTCAAGTAATTTTTATGAAATACCTTCAAGTTCTAGGTAATTTCTGTATATAACTGTCATTTGTAATTAAGGTACACAGCCAAAAGATGAAATAAATACAGGAATCATATAAATAAATTATCCACAATTTATCTACAAATCATCTACAAATTATTAACAAGACTACAATTTAAATACATTTAAACTACATTTAAACTACATTTAAACTATATTTTAACTACAAATCATCTACAAATTATTAACAGGACTACAATTAGACTACATTTAAAGTACATTTTAACTACAATCTGGAAACACTTTACATTGAATGAATTCTTTATTAATATCAGTTGTTTTGTATATAGTAAATATTAAAGTTTAACTAAGCTATAAAAAATGACAAATTAAGATGCCTGACAGAATACATAAAATCATATTAAATGCAAATAAAGAAATTGTATTATACTTCATAATCATCTTCAAAAACTTGAACGATTACACAAACAAATCGGATAATTTGAACTCATTAACATATATTTTGAATAACTATTCTAACTACATGATATTCATTTCTTTTTGGGCACATTCTTGCAAGTTCTTTTGTTATGCCCTTCACCTCCACAATTTCCACATGACACCTTGTACTTCTTTGACTTTATTTCATCAAATGTTTTATATCTTTCCTTGTGAGGTCTCCCTGGCTGCCTTTTATCTCCTGCCGGTGGCTTTACTACCTCATCCAAAATATGTTGTGGCACATCCCATTTGCTTTCATCAGGAAGAGGATTTACTGGCATTTCATAGGTAAGCAGAAGGCTCTTCCTTGTGTAATACGGAGAGCAATAGTTTTCGTATGTTTCCTTCCTGTGCCTTAATGTTGCCAAAGCATGCGCACATGGAAGTTCATCAAGTTGGAATTGTCCGCAGCTATATTTCTTATTTTCTAGACACACAATGTACCGCTTCACACCATCTAACACAGTATGTATATGATCTGTTGAAGCCCTCACCTACAATTGAAGAACAAACAGAAATAATAATATATCAATCATTAAAAAGGATTATCCACAACTTACCTACAAATCAGCTACAAATACATTACAACTTATCTACAATCTACAATTACCCACAATTTGACTACAGTTTATCTACAATCTGGAAACAATGCATATTAAGCAATTTATTTTTTTTCACCAAACAAACAGATCTTACCCTTAGTTTCTGAGATAGTGTATTGTTGTCATCGAATTCTTTGTTGAATTTGTACCCAAGGTATGTGAAAGTACCCTTTGCCTTCAATAACTTCTCTTTCGTCCAACGTTCAAGAAGCGTCCTCATATACTCTAATAGATCATATATTGGCAGCTCTCTTGCCTCTTTTGTTACAGCATTCAACGACTCGGCAATGTTTGATGTCATAGTAAAAGTTCTATTCACCGTTGCATGTACTCTTGACCATGTATGATAGCCAATATCATATAGGTAAGATTTCACACGTGGGTCTACCTTTTCAATCTTCAACATCCTTTCATTAAATTCATCAAGAATGTATGACCGTGCTGTAGTAAAGTACAACTCATGTAATTGTAGATGTCCCTTCTTGAATTTGGACCTTATATTTGTCCAAATATGGCACATGCAAGAGTAGTGTGGCATGCCCGGATAGACAATTGATGTTGCCTTCAGTATACTCTCATTCCTATATGAAACAACACACATTGAAGGCCTTTCACCATATGCCCCCTTGAATTGCTCAAAGAACCACTTCCAAGACGCGTCGTTTTCAGAATCAACCACAGCATATGCCAAGGGCAATATAGTACCTACATTTTTAATTCATAAAATATTAATTGGCAGCCCTGAAAAGGTATATAAAAATATGATTAAATAACAACTACAATATATATTCAGAATATAGACAATTTATCTACATTTTATAGACTGCCTACAAAATAACTATAAAATTATTACATTATTTACCTGCTGCATCCATGGTGCTTGCTGTAAGCATAATCCCCCTGTAGGCTAACTTTAAGAATGTCCCATCAACCACTACTACTGGCCTACAATGTTGCCAACCACTTATTGATGTACAAAGAGCAACAAATGCGTATAAGAAGCAATCATCTGCCGCCTTCTTCAATTTAACAACAGAACCAGGATAAGTCTCCTCAAGAATATAAAAATATTTGGGTAATTTGCTGTAGGAGTCAGACGGATTCCCTCTCAAAAACTGTAAAGCCTTTTCCTTGGCTCTCCATGCTTGCATGTAGCTTAGGTTCAGTCCATGTTCGGATAACATGTCAGTTTGTATGTCCTTTGGTGTGTAAACAGTCTTAAAATCACAATACTTTGGAACGACCATGCTACCAACTACAGCTGCAGTACGTTTGCGCTGTATGAATGTTTCGTCCATTAAGGAGCATGTGTGTTGTCGGCTGAAACTCCTTATCTTGAACATTGCCGAATCATTAATTGACGTTGCCTTGAAGTGCCATTTACAGTTTTCAGCAACGCATATAAGCCAGTAGCTACAAAAACAATACAATATTTAATACAGGCTATAGATGTAGAAGCAACAAAAAGGACTATTTTAACACAAATTCGTCAAAACTACAATTAGCTACAGTTTAACTACAATGTAACTACAATTTATAAAAACCACATATCTTCACTAAAACACTGCTTTTATTGATCTATTCTCCACAAATAACTCCATACCTTCTATGACTTGATCTTTTTACTCGGAACTGGAACTTGTGCATCACAGAAAAATTCTTCATTGCAGCAGCTACAGTTTGCTTGTCCTGATAAACTTGTCCTTCTTCAATATATGTTTGCGTAGATTCAGTTATTATTTCACTTTGATATTCCTCTATAGCTGGTGAGGATGGGTTTTCAAGTAACTTTAGGGATCCAGACGAACCTGCAGCAACATAGAGATAAATGTAGTAACTATGTAGATAATTTTGAAAATGACATTGCTTTATGAGCTTCAGTACATTGTTTTTTGTAGTTAATTTATAGATAAATATTGTAATATTGTAGATAACACACTAACACAATAACTCTCTGCAATGTCGAATTAAACATACCTGCACTTGTGCTATCGTTGGTGATTGCCAATTCCATATTGAAATCTCTTATGCTTATACATAAAGGATACGAACCTAAGTTCTTATTCTCCTTTTTGGTCTCCATATACACACGAACCCCCATATCATTCCTAATCTCCATTGGAGGACAATTGTCGTTCACAATGTATTTGATTTCTACAATTTTATCCGATGTATCAATCGATAGTTGTTTTGCAATTGTAGAAATCAGAATTCCGTAGCTTGCATTCTCATCTACCACAATGGCATCAACTTCAAAATCTATAAATCTGCCATAGTTATCCCAATTTCCATTCAATTTTAGCATTATTGGGATTTTTGACATGATTTAGTGTAGTTGAGAGAAAAGAGATGAAGAACAGATATAGGTTCGACAATTTGAGTACTGAGGTCGATGAAGAACAATTTTGAATTCTACAATTTGTATTGCGTTGTAGAATTTGTAAAAGCAAATTGAGTACTGGAGCTCCTGAAGCTTGCGTTGTTTTAGAATTGTAGTGAATGAGAGAATTACGCAGCAATGAGATCTCTTTACGTTTCAAAATTCGAATTTAATGTGGAAAGAATCAAATGCAGATTTCGTGCCTTCTTTTTAGCGCGTTTTAAATGGCAGAATCTACCTAATTATGGATTGGTATGTAAATTGTAGTAAAAGTGTGGACTGGGCGGATAATTAACAAATTATAAACATTTTTGATAATAAGGTTTCATATATGGTATAGATAGGAAAAAATCCCATAAAAGAAAGGAAAAGTCCACAAAATTTGGACCTATCTAGCCCATCAGAAAACTTTCAAGACAGCCCACAAATATTTATTTTTTAAAAATAACAACCCAGTACTTGCAGCCCAATGTTTCAACCCATTTCCCCTAATCCTAACGCCTTGTCACATTCCCTCTACCCAACAGTGTTCACATGCCCCTTCTCCATTTTGATGAAAGCTTGGTCTGCCACAATCATGGTTGACAGTGTGTTCGTCCATTTTGGGGGTAAGTGTTCCCTTCTTTATTGTGATGACAAACGTTTTACTTCACTCCTTGAATTCAAATTTGTTTTCTTACCAAAGCTGTGTATTTGTCATATTCAATTCCCTTCGAATCATACCAAATCTCACCATTTCGAGTACTTTCTGAACCAAATCACGTGAAGCCCTGCCATAACTCCAACGTTCGGATTTCAAATCAAAATCTGCCCGCCTTTAAAACCCTAGTCATTTTCTTGGCCTATAAATACATCTCTGACTTTCCAGCGGATTTCATGGTGGAACACCCTTCAACGGCCTACTCTAATACTCCTACTCTTTTTTATTCTTCAACTCTGTGAAAAACCCAAATAGATATCTCAAGCTTTACGTTTCTGTCTCTGTTGACTTTAGCGCAGATAGAAGCTTTTCAAACTCATTCGTTTTAAGGTTCGGATTTATTCGTAACCAGAGAGTAGATACGAGGCTCGACGACGCCCCGTTCACTGCCCCACAGCAGGTAATATCCGACACTATCCTAGCTTCCTCCTCTTTTGTTCGAAAATCTGGAGTTTAAAAATTGTGTTTTTTATTGGCTTCTTTGTATTAAATATGTTTATAGAATTTTCCGATAAGTAGTAGATAACATGGTTTTTTTAGAAGCTTATGAAATAATGAGTGATATGCTGTTAGTTTCAGTGAAGTAAATCCATGTTGAGCTCAAAATTAATCTAGATATCATATCTTTAGGCTATTACATTGATTTGGGAAACTCTTTGTTTTTGGGAAACTGTTCAACACAGTTAAAGTATGTGTCGTATCTCAACAATATTTGGAGTGCCTAATAGGATTTAAAGTATTTCTTGTCTAACAGACTTTAGCTATCTGCGGGCATGACAGCTTAATGAGTTCTAAGATATAAAAGTTCTCTAATCTATAGATTGTAATAGAGTTGAATGATTGCATGACTTTATTATTTTTCATTCTGTTCTTAATTTGCAGAAGGTAAAATAAGAGAAGTTTTTGAGATTGTTCAACTTGTTAATTCTCTCAACCTATGGTACTTAAACTACTATGCAAATGACCTAAAGTAGGAAATGATACTTAATTACATGATTTAAATATGCTAACTGATTTTCTAAATCTTCTAATTGATCCATAGTTGACCCGATTAAATTCTTCTCGTTTGCTTAAGTCTTGGTGAGCAAATTTATTTGGTACCTGAGATCATGAAGGTAGTAGATATTAGATGAATTCGTTTGAGGTGCGCACAAGCCAGTCAAGACTCAAGACTTCAATTTTTTATTTAAGAGAAGGCCTCTAATCGATGTGCTTAATTACAGAATACTTACTCGATAAGTATGCACATTAAATTTTTGGGTATATCTCATATACTTGTAGCTTATTGCAAATGTATGAAGTGCTAGAACTTCAGAGTGACTTTGTAAGTACTTTTTGCTTCAGAGTGACTTTGTAAGTACTTTTGCCTGATAAAGTAACCATCTGTCTTTATGTGCTTCTTTCTTTCACAGAACATATGATCTCATATAATATGTAGTGCTACTTTATTGATTAGTTTCATCATTTTTTCCCCTTTCAAATTTCAGTTCTTGAAGAAACTGCGTTAACCTTGTAAGGTGATACGTTGCTTGGCCCATGGCTTGACTTTTATTCTATATGATCTTGTTTGACCGTAAAAACTTATGAAATTATGCATTATATTATTGGTAGTATATGAAAATGAAAAAGACATTGAAATTTGAAATTAAATTAAATTGTACTATTGAAGGTTTTGAATGTTATTTGGGAGTTTACTATACTAGAAAATGTTGTATTCTTTTGTTGGGTGTAATTAGTTGCTAGACCTTATATTCGTACAATTAATCCTTTTTTCCCACATTGGTACTGATGCCGTATTTTCTTTCTGTAGCTAGTAGCATCATTTAACATATCCGGAACATTGCATCCATGTTTGCTGAGTCTACTCATGAAGTTTGTTTTTATTTTTTAATTGTGCATATCAAACTACTTTATGTTGTAGTGCGATAGTTGATAGTCCCAAAACCATAGGTTATTGCGAACTTAGAACAAAAGTTCCTAATGCAACTAACTATTGGGGTTGTGAGGTGCAATTTGAGGATTATGATAAAAAAATAAAAGTTACTTTACTATTTTACCCCACATTTGCCGAAGCTAAAGAGCGTATGAGAATGTTGTATGACGTCAACTCCTCATATCTCACCAAACCTTGTGGTGTTAAACCAGTTGAAGATGGAAAATGACTTGTTTTGTCGAAAGTGTATCACTGTTACCAACCTAGTTGGAGAACATAGAGAAAAATATGTGGAATCTTTATACTCTTTAATGTATCGGAGTTGATGTTGCATTTAAATTTTTTGTAGTAAATTTGTTCATTATTTCGTTTTTAACTTCTATATGCAAGTTCTTCTGGGGTTGGAGTCAATACACGTTGCTCGACATTTTCATTGCAATTTATTGAATGTATCTTAGAGTTGATTAGAATATTTGTTTAAACAACTTTACCTACCATGCTAAAAGGTATGTACTCAATTCAAGAAAATGCATTATATTTAATTATAATTTTATTTGTGTAATAATTTTTTTATTTGAAACTTGTAGCGATAATGATATTCTCACTAAAGACTTCACAGATTATATATAGTTAGTTAAGAAGACTATTAACAAACATTCACCCTGTTGTAAAACCAGATGAAGTAGCTGAATTTAATGATTTTATGCACGTATTTCATTTTAAAATCATTAACTTCAGCTACTTTATTTGGTTTTAGATCGGACACTAAAATGTTTGTAAATGGCTTTCTTAACTAACTCTTTGTAATCTATGAAGTCTTCCTTAAGATTATTACCATCAACTACAAGTTTCAAGTAAAAAAAAGTTACTACACAAATAAATTATAATTAATTATGATACATTTTCTTGTATTGAGTACATACTATAGCAGGGTAGATAAAGTTGCTTAAACTAACATTCTGATCCACATTCCAAGGTAAACTTCATTCAATAAGTTGCAATGGTGATGTCCAACATCGTATATTGCCTCTAACCCCAAAAGAATTTGCCTTTAGAAGTTAAAAATGGAAGAATGAACAAACTTATTGAATTTTTTTAAATGCAATACCAACTCCAATACATTTAAGACTATGAAGATTCCACATATTTTTCTTTTTATTCTCGAACTAAGTCAGTAAAAGTGACACCCTTTCAACAAAATCAGCCCTTTCCTATTTTCACCTTTTTAACACTACAAAGTTTGGTGAGGTATGAGGAGTTGATGTCATATAACATTTTTCATACGCTCTGCTTCAGCATATGTGGGGGTAAATAGTACATTAGATTTTATTTTTTCATCAGAATCCTCAAAAATTGCACTTCACAATCCCTAAGGTCAGTTGCATTTGAAACTTTTCTTTCAAGTTCATAACAAATTATGTATTTGGGACGATCAACCATCACACAACAATAGAAGGCATCCAAGTATACACAAGCAGAGAAGAAAATCAATTTTGTGAGTAGACTCAGGAAGCAAAGAAGCTATGTTTTGGATATGTCAAGTGATGCTACTAGTTACAGAAAGAAAATGCGACATCAATAATAAGTGAGGGAAAAAAGAGCGAGCGGTGCGAATAAGGTCTAACAATTAATACTCCAACAAAAAAATTTAACATTTTATAGTAATAGTAAACTCCTAAACAACTTTCAATAGTACAAATTTAATTTAGTTTGAAACTTTGATGTTATTTTTCATTTTCATGTACTACCAATAGTATAATACGTAAGTTCAAACTTTATTCGGTCAAACAAGATCATATAGAATGCATACATATGACACGAGGAAGCGATGCACATTCTCCCCTGTGGCTAAAGCGAAGTGACAGAGATGAAGCTAACACTAGGTATGATGGCTACTTGTAAATTGATAGTACCTGCACTTGAAGTACCCAATATGCCTTGTAGATGAACACAAACATTTCTTTAACATGGTATCTATTTTCCAAAAATATGCAACATATGTACACAATGCAAACTTAACTTGATTACACCCCTATAGCATGCACATATCTCAACGAAACAATTTACTTATATTCACTTCAAATAGCATGCACACCCCTATATTCCCTTCTTTATAAAGTTTACACTTATATTCACTTCAAAAAACATCCTAGAACTATATCAATAATTATTGATCAAAGGCACAAACTTAAACTGTATACTATGTCACTATTTATCACTTGACCTTATATCAGAGAAAAGCAGCATTCAAACAATCATTGCCCTTACAACGACAACTTCTAGATATTCGTGATTCCATATTAGACATGATTCATAATTGTTTTCTATCCTCATAATTACCTGTAACGCCTGTAATGTGTAGGAGGGATTATAGGTGATTCCATATTATAATTACCGGTAATGCCTGCAATGTGTAGGAGGGATTATAGGGAATGGTTACAGATAATCCATCCTATAAATATATCCCTTTCTCCACTTTTGGAACACATTGATACGTACTATTACACTGAAGCAGTGAAGCTATAAAAGTTAACGACAACTGTCGGGTTATTTGAACCATACTTTTTGAGGTTACTTTTAAATTTGGGAAAGGGGCCAAATTTGTCCCCGTACTATGCAAAAAAGATCTATATTACCCTCCGTCATACTATCAGAATAAACATACCCCTAACATTATACAAATGGTTCAAATACACTCAATCTTACATAGACTGCCATTTTGATGAGGTGTACATCACGTGGCATGCCTCCTCACCACCCCAACTAAGATAAATACAATGTGTGTATTTATCTTATCAGATTTCCTTACCATTCCAACCAAAAAGCTTTCCTTACCATTCAAACCAAAAAGCTATCTGCTTGAGCTTCCCGTAAAATCCTAACCCGTAATATCCAAGCACCACACCATAATATCGCCATGGTCCTCAAGTTTTTTTTCCACCACATAACAGTTTTTAGTATCTACTTTTTCTGCCTCTTGGACTGAAATATTTTAGGCCCTTCACTTTGCTATCAGCCTTTGCTTTGGTAATGGCTTTTAAGTTGTATCGATTTAAGGAAGTAAAGCTTTTTTGCACAATTAGCTAAAATTTAAATTTATTACCTAAGCAAAGACATGGGATAAAACTAGGACAAATAAGAAGCACAATACAGTTAGACAATGACTTTTGTGTTACAAGAATCTGCGTTAAATGATGGTTTATGGTGATGGTGCTACTGGTAAGGTAGTGGTGGAAGAAAAAGTGGAGGGGAGGGGTAAAATGGGTTGGGGCAGCGAGGTGGCTTGCCACGTGGTATCCAAATCATCAAAATGGCAGTGCCATGTAGGATTGGGTGTCCACCTTGAAAAGCCTAAATGGGGAAGGGGTATATTTGAACCACTTACATGACATTAAGGGTATTTTTGTACTAATAGTATATTGATCATTTTCGCATAGTAGAGGGGCAAATTTGTCCATTTCCCCTTTAAAATTTGTCCCGTTTGTCCAATTAAATAAATATCACATTTAAAATTAATTGGATGAACTTTTCTTTTCAGACAAGCTTAGTCAACTTAGTCAGTCACCTGAGCTAACGATGACAGAATTTTAATTATGGCCTCGAAAATGCCCATTTGTGAACTTAGTCACCTGTCGTGGATCTCTTCTTCTTGAATCACACACACCTTCTTGGTACTAGCCCGAAAAAATTACTTTATCTTATGAAGAAAAGGGCAACCCGGCAGGTTTTTTTTTCACTTAGATATCACTGGCGGCATCCTAATTTCTTGATAGTTTGGGCAATTAGATATATATGTTGTTTGTGATGTTGTGATGTATTGGTATTGCTCTTTGTGATCATTTCATCTTCTCCCATGTTAGCAGGCTGTATTTTTGGTTCAACATGGATTCATTGGCACGTGTTTTTGCTTGAACAAGCTATTTTCATGTTCGGATCTATAGCGTTTTACATCTATATCTAAGAGCCATTTAAGAGCATTCTCACTATGCTTTATCCTTGCAAGGTGATTGGACTGTGCACGGTATTTACCTCTCAACTAGCTCATGGAGCTGGTTGGTGCCTGACACATCCCAACTGATCGGAGAACATATGGCAGGTATGTTACCCGACTTTCAAGGGCTGAAGGTTGATTATACAGAGATGAAGTGCATTTCATGGTTCAAATTTTGCGTTTCAAACTCAGTAGTTTATAAGTTAAGTTCATTTTTGACCGAATCATATATTTAGTCTATCATACAATCTTTTCGAGTGTTCCGCTCTACAAAGACACATAAAAGTTACTTGGAAGATCATTTTTGTGTTGTATATATTTGTTCTGACAATATCTTCTTTGAAGCCCTTATATAAACGAAAATGTGCCCCTTAATGAACGTTACAGCTACAATATATTAAATTACACGGTTCAACTAGAAGACAAAACAGTTGGTATTCATTCCTATTAGTTGTGGAGGTCCTTTCATGTGTTCTCATATATGACATCAGAATTTGATCCCCTTTAGTTGATATTTATTTTCCCAAACTATACTTCTTGATGTGATGATGTGCGCTCTGCATTTTCATGCTTTTCATTTATTTGTCAGTAGAGATTGAAGAAGTCATGTGATTATAAATCTTTTTCGTAGTTATAGTGATTCTGTTTTCTGGTTCCTGCTACAGGTTTTTGGCATCAACTTTGGCGTAGAACCTTTTGCTGAGGGTTTTAAGTGCCTATTTATATGAAGGGTTGGCTACGTTCTATCTCTCTTGCATTTTGCAGTTTTACCGATGCTTTATTTGTCCTACTATGAATAGAGTATAAATCTTCCTAATGTTTGATAATACTGGCTTGACTCTCTTAATAATGGACTGTCAGAGTAAAAATTTACTTTATCCTTGTGCTTTGCAGTAAGAGCTCGAGCGATTGCATCCTGAAATCATGTGATTCATCAACTGCTTTCGATAAGGGCAACAATATAGTTAGCGACTTTTTCGTCTTTGGAATTGGTAAGTGAAGAAGTTTGGCCTCGAAATTTCTAGATTACTTTGTACATTCTTACTTATATGATAGTTGTTTGTTTTAGGGCCGACATCAAGCACAAGTGGGTCTGGGGAGGGTAGTGTGTACGCAGACCTTACCCCACCCTGAGGGGTAGAGAGGTTGTTTCCAAAGCACATGTACTGAATAATATAATACGGACTTACAGCTATACCAAGGATGTTTACTTTTTGGGCTTATAAAGATTGGATTCACCAGGATTTGGTTTTGGCAGTGGCTCAATGAAAGCTATTTTTTCGCATCAGTTCCTAATACGTCCATTTAGTGAAGATATGCCTTCTTTCCTGGCTTTGAACTTATGGAGCTTCAGAAAAGTTTGGATATTCACTATTTTAGAAGAGCTGAACTATTTTGAAACGTAATTTAATGAAACCGAAAAAAATACTGCAGTTTATGATCATCAACAGAATGCTTAAATCTTTTTCTTTGCCTTAATTGTTCCTTACAAGTCAGAGTATGATGGACGAATTGTGTAGTTTTATATCTGCCTTCCACAAAGTTTTGTAAGCCTTTTGCTGTGATTGATCTCAACTCAGTTGATTGCAAATACAAATTGAAACTCAATAAATACAAACTTCAAAATCTTGAAATAATTATCTCTCAGAGAGTTGGATTTAAAATAAGAGACTAAGTTTTTTTTTAAATTTCAAGCTCTCTTAGGAAGAGCATAAGATGAGAAAACTGAGGGAACAACAGCGAAAATGAATCGCAAAAGACAAAGGCTGGCCGCAGCATCTGCAATGCCCAGAAACTTCGGTCGTTTTTTTTCCCGACCGATTTCGATCGGTATTTTGTGGACGAATTTTGACAGTTTTTTTAGTAGTGACAGCTGCAGACTAGAATTCTTTTCTTAAATTATTTTGTTACATGTGGTGGTAGGGGAATAGGGATTGCGAATGGGATGAAGGACAACGTAAACTGTATCTATGTTATTATTGTCTGATAAAACTTTCATCGATATCACTTTGAGATATTGTCTGACAAAACTCTAATCTATGCAATTTTCCTTCTTTTAATTTTGTCGGTTTAAACAGCTCGCATTTTCCTTTAACTGTGTCCAAATCAACGTACCTTTTGTTTTGCATGATAATAGGCTTTGGTCTTTGTTTAATTATAAGTAAGTTTCCTTCACGACAATTGGTGACAAATACCCAATTGAAGGACAACTTTCAAAACAAAAGTTATACTAGAAAAACTACAAAACCACCTTAAACACTATATGACGACCAAATGTGGAAAAATTAAGAATATAACATAAGACAACTTCAAATAATCTTTGCAATAATCTCTCAGATCGTTGGATCAAAACAAGATACTTTTAAAATCAAGCTCTCTTGGGAAGAGCGTAAGATGAGAAAACAGCAGTGAAAAAGAATTCAAAAAGACAAAGGCTGGCACCATGTCACGACCCAAAAATCACAAGTCGTGATGGCACCTAATTCAACCGCCAGGTAAACCAACTAACACGAACACAATACGACTGAGATAATAAGAAAATAGAGAATAAATACAAATAAATACACGATCTGTTTGAAGGTTACATAAACAGATTAGCAGTAATCTAAACTACCAAGGCAAGTGGCAGCTATATCCAACGCACGAACATCTCCCGAATCAGCACCAGCAACTCCGCTCCAAAATCTGCATGGAACGTGCGGAAGTGCAGTATCAGTACAACCGACCCTGGTAAGTATTTTGTCTAACCTCGTCGAAGTAGTGACGAGGCTTTTAGTTAAAAAAGATGCTTATTGCATCTCAGATTAACAATAAAGCAGTTCAAAGAATAACAGATAAAAGTATCATATACAACTCAACGAGTCATACAATAAATACTAAAAAGAACCACAGTAGAATATTTACGACCTTTCCTGGTATGAGATATATGTCTAAAATGTCAAAATATCAAATCACATGGCACTATAACACCCTTCGTGCTGTTATCTCATCCTTACCATGTATAAATAAATTTTATGTAACAATTCAATTAGCACGGCAACACCCTTCGTGCGTTCAACTCATCTTTCCTAAGTGATCGTATAACAGAGCAACCATATCAAAGGAACACAACAATAGGAATTACTAAGTAATAGCAATAGCCGCTACTTCTGTCTGCGGCTATCTTCTCCTATTGATTAAGCCCTTCAAAGGAATTTTTTCTATTTCTTCTTTCTAAAGGCAAGGCTAAGCCATCCGCCCTTCATTGCAGGGTAAAAGGGGAAAATATGCAAGTAGCAACCGTGGACAAGGATACACATGTAGGTCACAGTAAAGGACTAAGCGGAAAGCACGTGAGTAACAACAACAATTGGGAAACAAGGAATATCAACTTCAATTAACCAGCATATTGGAGGCCTAAGTACAAATATAACAATTAAGAAGGAAACACAATGTTCTTTACAAGTTAACAAGTAAAGGCATGAATGACTAGCATGGTGGAAGGCTTATAAAGTACAACAGAATAGATACAACATGAGTATAATTCTAAAAGCAGGAAATAGGCATGGTATTTGCAAGTTAAGCAAGTAAAAGACATGGACAGTACAACAACAATTGAGATAACGGTCAAGTATAGGACAATAACAACAAGTCACACTAAATATGTAAATACAACAATAACAGCTCAAAGTAAGGGCGCAATCGTATATACGGGAAACAGATATCATATCATAATGTATGTCCCTCGTCCTCACCTACACGGAAACACCCTTCGTACCATAACCTCACCATAACATACAAGCATAACAATATAAATGAAATGGGCATCACCCTTCGTGCTTTTATTCTCAATAACATGGCACGACATCACCCTTCGTGCTTTATACTCTTCCTCACATGATAATGAATATAAAATGGTACGGCATCACCCTTCGTGCTTTACACTCTTCCTCACATGATAATGAATATAAAGTGGCATGGCATCACCCTTCGCGCTTTACACTGTTCCTCACATGATAATGAATATAAAGTGGCACGGCATCACGCTTCGTGCTTTACGCTCTTCCTTACCAAGCGTATGAATATCAATAAAATGGCAAGGCAGGAAGTATAAATAACATCGAGGAAAGTGTTCAAACGAATATCCCAAACAAATTCTCAATCACTGATTTCTAAGCCAACAATAATTCAATGAACCCTCAAGGTCCACATAATTCAAGTGCTTCCACAAATCCCAGAATTTATCAACAACACATGACATAATCTAGCATCTCAAAATATCGGCCGTGGCAATGTATTAATGATTATGCATAGAGATGACCGAAACACATCAATGTATTCTCAAAATTCCATCAAATTTGATCAAGTTATATTAGGCTAAGTCTCGATTCTAATATTTAATACTAAGTTCTTAATATCTAGAAGTCAAGTGAGGCATGAAGCATGAGGTCACGAAATTCTGCAAACATAAAGGTAACATAATCCACCCCTCGAGCATGATTAACCCTTGCACATACATATGCGCTCGTCACCTCATATATGTATCACCCCCGCACGTAGCAAACAATGACAAATAAGAGGAAAAATTCCCTCAACAAAGTTAGGGAAAATACTTACCTCAATTCGGCTAATCCAACACTCAATTTAGCCTTTTCCTCTACAAATTCGCCTCCGCTCAGCTCAATCTTGCCAATAACGACTTGAATACACCACACAGTGCAAGAGAAAACGGTTTCAATTAATAAAGCTATGATTTTTATTCAATTTCTAAAAAGTCAACAAAAGTCAAAATCCGGGCCTGCCCGGTCGAAACCCGGGTCCAAAGGTAGGTCTTGACTACCCATAGCCCCACGAGTCCAAATATGTGTTTTTTTCAAATCCGAGTCTTATTCGACTCTCAAATCTCAAATTTTAATTTTTCAACCCAAATTTTTTCTATAGTTTTCCCATGAAATATAGTTGGAAATTGATAAAAGATACTTACCCAATGATTTGGCATGAAAATCCTCTCTCAAAATCGCTTCACCTCGAAGCTAGGGTTCAAAAATTTGAAAAATGAAGCAAAAACTCAAAATTCTCAGCACTTAACAGGTTGCAGATGTCGCATTTGCGACAGAGGGTTCGCAAATGCGAAATTGCAAAAAACACATCGCAATTGCGAACCTGAAGGATGTCTGCTGAGGTCGCATTTGCGGCAAAAACTTCGCAAATGCGAAGACCAGCCTTCGCGAATGCAGCTGGTTCATCGCAAATGCGAAAACTACCCAGTCACCCAGGCTTCGCGAATGCGAGGTTTCTTCGCAAATGCGTTCGCAAATGCGATGGCCGCATTTGCGATCAAAACATCGCAAATGCAAAGATACCAGAACCAGAAATTAAAAACTATGCAAGAACATTCCGAAACCAATCCAAAACTCACCCGAGCCCTCGGGGCTCCAAACCAAATATGCACACAAGTCTAAAAACACAACACGAACTCGCTCGCGCGATCAAATCATCGAAATAGCTTCAAAAACCACGAATCGGATGCCAAAACACATGAACATCAAATTAAACTTCAAGAACTTCTAGAATTGTAACCGAGCGCCCAAACCATATCAAATCAACTCCGAATGGCGTCAAATTTTGCAGACAAGTTCCATATGACAAGATGAACCTACTCAAGGCTTCAAATCATGCTTGACAACCTCGAAACGATGAATCACACCTCAAACCGAAATCAATGAACTTTGAAACTTCAACTTCCACTACCGATGCCGAAATCTATCCAATCACCTCCGGTTGATCTCAAATTTCACACACAAGTCACATTTGACATTACAGACCTATTCCAACTTCCGAAATCATAATCCTATCCCGATATCAAAAAGTCCACTCCCGGTCAAACTTCCCAAAATCCAACTTTCGCCAATTCAAGACTAATTCCACTACAGACCTCCAAATTACAATCCGGACGCGCTCCTAAGTCCAAAATCATCAAACTAAGCTAACGGAACTGACGAAACTTCATTCCGAGGTCAAATGCTAAAGAGTCAAATTTGGTCAATTCTTCCAACTTAGAACTTAATCTTGAAGTACATTTTTCCAAATCGATTCCGGATAACTTGAAAACCAATATTGACGATTTACGCAAGCCATAATACATCATGCGGAGATACTCGAGCCCTCAAAACACCGAGCGAAGTGTAGATACCCAAAATGACCAGTCGGGTCGTTACATCCTCCGCCACTTAAACTCACGTCCGTCCTCGAACGTGCTAGGGCCATTCCAAAGCCATCCAATCACAGTGTAACCTTACTAAGCATAAGCCTGGGGGCGATCCCACGTTACCCTGAACCGTATATGCCCGCAAATACAACACCATTAGAGATCTGTGACGACCCGACCGGTTGTTTTAAGCTTTTGCACTTTGCTCGCCAGTTCTCGGGCATGACTTGCCCCGCTTGATGTATTATGACTTATGTAAATCGTTGGTTTTGGTTT